ATAATGAAACATTTTAATTTTAATTTCAGTAGGTATTGATGCATATTCCCAATACGTACCAAAGTTATAGTTTGTGTCGATGTTCTGTTGTTGTACAGTTTGTTTGTATCCGTGATAATTAAGCAGAAAGTTAGAAGATAATCAGAAAGCTCAAAGTCTCTGCTGTCGTAACATCTTGAGCCAAAGAACTCAAAGAAAGTATTTAGCAGAGAAAATGAGTCCAAATATTGTGTGAAAAACTAAAGGATTCAGTCAAAAGTTCTTCTTCTGTGGTAGAACTTATTCCTGTATACAATAAATACATAAACTTGGTTTATTAATCATCTTTATTACATGTTGAGTAGTTTAGTGTTCACAGAATATACCTCATGTTATTAATAAACTATATAGGGACAGTTTTTTTTTATATCGCATATATCACATATTTGTGTATATAAATAAATATAATAATATAAATATATAACTGATTAATTATTACCAACAGGTTCACTGAGTGTCAGTGAGGTTTGGTTGTTTGATTAATTGTAAACTTGTCTCTTTAAACTAAAGACATCTTTTAGATTCATCGTGCGACCTCGTTGTCCACGCTGACGGTGGAAAGAATCGTCTTTCATCTTCACCTTTATTTTGTCTGAGGTGGTTATCTCAAACGCTCGGCAGATAAAATGATAAACATGAAAATATGTTAAGGGTATGTAAGAAAATGTTTTTTGGTCATTTGGGTGAACTGACCCTTTAAGGTGCATCACTGAGACACCAGAGACATGTTGATGTATGGAGCTGTTCCAGGTTTCTCAAGATTTATATATTGAATTGTTAACTGTACAAATGTTAAAGTAAGTCTGAACACAATGCCGTAATAATAATGTGGATATACTGAAAACGGTCTCAACTGTTTTTAAAGGAACAGTGTAAGTTAGAGTGACATCTAGTGGTGAAGTTACAGATTGCAACAGACTAAATACCCCTCAGCTAAGCCCCTCCCCTTTCTAAGTGTAGAGAACTATGGTGGCCTTCAGCTGCAGAGAGTTATCTTTAGGGTTTGAGTACAAAATAGCCGATGCTGCAGCCTGATAATAAATGACACCAAAACAATGTACGAAAACAAAGTACTAATATAAAGCACCAATACTACGATCTTTAATTATTCAGCACCGGGGTCGTTTAATACCAGGTGCCTGGACGCATCACGACCTTCAGATAACGTAAAAACACGAACGGCTCTGACTAGAGCCAGGGTGAAGTTTGTCCGTTCTGGGCTGCTGTAGAAACATGGAGGTGCAAGATGGCCGACTCCGTGGAAGACGACCCGATGTAGCTTTTTCTAAGCTAAATAAAACACTTCGATTCTTAGTTTCAGGTGATTCTACACTGATTAAAACATAGCTATGACTATTATATTCAATATCGGCCTAAAAGCCCCCTAAATGTTTCACATTGTCCCTGTACACATTGTGGATGTTTGTGTTTTCAGGAGGACCTCAACCATGTGCAACTCAGCGATCCGTCTCTCTCAGCGCTAGCGGCCCCTCTCTGCAGTGATGATGTACCTGGCTCACACGGCTCACTGCCAGTTCCTGGGCCTGATGGCGGGGGTCCTGGCCTGGATCCTCATCATGGCCGCCACCGGCCTGAACGAGTGGCGGCTGTGGTTTGTGGACGACGTGTCCGTGGTCACCTCGGGCGTGGCCTGGGTGGGCATCTGGAGGGCGTGTTTCTACAGCCACGCCCTCTCCGGGATAGAGAACTGTCGCGGCATCGGCATCTCGGACACTTTTGCTCCGGCGGAGATCCACGTCGCTCAGGTGCTGATGGTGCTGGCACTGATCTGCGGCCTGGTGGGGAACATCAGCGGCGCGGTGGCTGTGAGGATGGTCTACTTCTCCGTGGAGGATCGTAGGAACATGCGGCTGGTGTTCGTGCTGGCGGGGTTGATGTACCTGCTGACGGGGACGCTGTGCTCGGTGCCGCTCGCGTGGAACATGAGCTCGGTGCTGAACAACAGCAGCATCCACTTTCCTCCGGAGTTCCACCTCCCCGCCGCTCCGGTCAGGCAGCAGGTCGGATCGGCCATCGCCATAGGCGTCTTCGCCTCCATACTGATGCTCGTTAGCGGGCTGCTTTTCCTCAGCTACCGCTACGCCTGGACGGCCCCGAGTGCGGAGGCCCCTAAAAATGCCAGGAACTCGCTCCGTGGTCCCCGGACACAAACGGTCCTGGAACATAATGGAGACAACCAGGGCAGAGATAATCCTGCTTTTTACATCGAAGAAGTCTCATGATGGCAAAAATATCAAGAAGAGAAGAAGTTTTATCACAATATTGTTTATCGACTTAGGACCTGCAGGATGAGTTATATCACCAGAAACACTGAGATCTACACATCAAAATACAGCATCACCAAGAACAGTCAAAAATGAATTGTGATAAAACCATAGTATGAAAAATAAGAACTGATTTTAATATTACTACTAGAAAGAAAAGTATGAATATATTTTATTAAATAGAGTGATGTGTGACATTCAAATGCTGGCATCTCCTCCATATTAATGAACACGGATTCATTACTTGCACACAAGACCACTTGGAAAAGTTAATAAATGTACTTACAGCATTGATTTTGATGCATTTTTATTATTTGTGAAATATTATTTTCCACTTTCAATTAGTTAAATCTTTTAACCAACATCAGTCCTGATCATAACTATTAAATATTCATTCTTTTTCAGAATGTAACACCAGGAGAATAACATGTATTATCTCTATAATACAGCAGCGATGCCTCTAG